TCAGTAGTCATCTCACTGTAGTTTAGACTGTTGGCCTGGTGTTGCTCATCCTCTCTTGGCAATCATGTACTGAGATGGTACCCTGTGCCGGCAAGTACGCCTGTGTGCAAGGCCCCGTGCTGAAGTCGGTGGGTTCTGGAGTTTGGACTCAGACTCTATTCTTGACTAGCTGAGTGATCTCAATTCATTATCTTAATCTGTAGCTCAGTATTCTCATCTGTATAGTGAAGGTTATAATAGTACCCACTTTACTGGGTTGTGTGAGCATCCAAGAAGATCAAATATTCAGAGCTCAGAGCGTGATACTTGGGGCAGAGTGACACAGTAAATGCCATTATTAGCATGGGGCTTGCGTGCCTGTTTTCCTGGTCCTGGAGGACTTCCCTGAGAAGTTATTTCTGACTGTTCTGCTTCTTCAAAGCCCAAATCTAAATTTCACTTTTCCACTCTAACCTGCTTTGCCCTATCACAGCCCAAGTTTTGTGCTACACCTTTTTCTTAACTGTACTGTTTTTAACAGTAAGTGTTGAACCCAGTAGAATGACTAAAATGGAAAAGTCATTCCATTTTATGAAAATATGAAGCATTGATTGAGATATAATACTTCCAGAATGGCCTTATAGTGATGTTGGGTGCATACATCCATTCAGCTGTTCAAAGACTAGCTGTCTAGTTCAACATCAGCATTCAACAGGAAAGATTGTGTGTGCACCAAAACTTGTACTGAAGTTCACAACAGAATGGTATTAACTATCAATGAGGAGCAGGTAACTCCCAGGCTTAGCAACTTAAAACCAGACTTATCCCACAGTTTCTGTGGATAGGCATGTGCGAGTCTCTTAATGGGGTACAGGCACATTATACCCATTAGGTACAGTTTGTGTAGTGCCTAAAAGACCACAATGCTTGTCAGCTTGTCCATAAAATTTCCTTCTCACAATTCCTCCTCTTCTATCCTCACCCTTCCCCACCCAGTGGAGGAAAAGGCCAAAAAAAGCAAAGTACCTAGGGGCCACAAACACCATAACATGCAGAACATAGCTCAGCTCCAGGTGGTTCTGACTGAGTCCCCATGAGGTTTCAGCCAAGCTGTCAGCTAGGGAGAGAGTCTTTGTCTGAAGACTCCACTGAGTGGATCCACTTCCAGGTTCTCTCAGGTAGTTTCTGGCAAGTGTTAGCCTTGCTCTGGTGTGACTGGATGCCACTATGTGGCAGATGTCTTCTCCCAGGGCAAGGTGGGGGGGTGTGTGAGGGAGGGGCGGGAGAGGGGGAGGGAAGGTGGGAGAGAAAGAGAGACTAATACCTTTTAATACCTTTATAACTAATCTTGGAGAGACATAGCATCACTTCTTCCACATTCTGTTGGTCACACCAACCAACCCAAGCTGATGCTGGACGGGTGTGAGAGCCAAGAGACAGCGATCAATGAGCTGTCTGGAAGATGGCTGCCACAGCACTATTTTTCATACTCAGAAACTCTAAGCTATCCAAATGTCGACAATAGTAGCAGACAGGTAAGTGCTGATGTCCACAGTATGAGCCATTTACACAGACATCTGGTGATGCTGCTGTGCTGGCAAGCACATGACTGCATGGAAGTCAGACACACAGGCACAGGCCACACGATTCCATGTCTGTAGAGCTTAACGGCAGTCACATTACTCTGTGTGTTATTGATGAGGGTTGTGGTTCCCCTGGGAGAGAAATGACTGGAAGTAGGTTTGATGGGAGAGTGGGGTTAGGGTGCAGGCACTGGGGGTTGCAAAATTGAGTTTCTTCTTCTGGGTTTTAGTTGTACAGGTTCGTTTGTGAAATTCATTAAGTTTTATTTACCTTTTTCTGCATGTACATTAGACATTCATAATCGCTTTTTCAAAGAATTGGTCAGAATACTGTTACTTCCCCTTTCCTCAGTACATGTTCAGGAAATGATTGGGATTGCGCATAAATCTGGGACTGGTCTGGGGCTCCAAACCTTACTTCAGTTTTGTGAGCCGCAGTAGCTGCCTCTGCAAAGCGGGTACATTCTGCTCCTCCTCTCAGAGAATGGTGGGGACTGAGCACTGCCAGACACTGTCAGTACTGTGCGGCACAGGATGAAGTAGTAAAGTCAGGGAGGACTGTGAAAAACCAAGTGCCTTTGGAGATAATCGGTTAATGAATAGAGAAAGAACCTGGAGTCACCATTAGATATAATCCTAAGTGGTAATTTTGCAGTTAGGCAGCACTTTGTAGCTTACAACATCTAAATAATTTATTTGAAAATAGCCTTCTTTTGAAGGCGAGGTTTAACTTTTCCAGATCACCTGACTAGGTTAGCAGGAAATCTGGGATTCATAACTAGATCCTCCAATTTCAAGACCATCATACTTCCCAGATGACAGGCACTCTCTTCTATTTCTCTCTGTCTCTGTCTGTCCGTCTCTCTCTGTGTATGTCTCTCTCTTTCTCTCTCTCTCAGTGGTGGTCCAAAGAGGTTGGTTTGAGGATTTGTGCTCTGCTTCTTCTGGGCTAATCCTCTGGCCTCAGCCACCTGCACGATCTATGTGACATTGAGAGCGTTCTCTAGTCGACATTCCCACATTAACTAAGACCAGTGAGATGGAACGTGAGGTGGCTGTGGTTCTTACCTGAGCTTAGGCCAGTTTCACTGGATGGTTCTTCCTGTCTGCTATCTAGATTAGGTGTGAGGCGGGGTGGGGTGGGTGTGGGAGGTTAGAAACAAGAGAAATGGCTTCTGAAGTTCCAGAATGGAACCAGGTTACTTTTTGAATACCATATGCAAGCATCATGTTACTATATACTGTTAATAATAGCTTGATACTATATATACTAGAATTTGTAAAGAAAACCCTTGCCCAGCTAAGGTATATATTCTGAGATAGTCATGATGTTATAGTTCAAGTCTAGATTTATCTCTTTATGGACACTAGACTGTCTTTGTGCCCTACAACTTTACAGGGTTATATGCATTTAGATGTGACTAAAGGCTCCCTACCCAGGACAAGTCCTTCTAGTGTTAACTAGGAAAACCCAGAGGGAGCCACTGTGAAGTGGTGGAGGAGAATTACTGGAGTAATTCCTATGGCAGTCTTTGCAGTTTAAATCACTCCATAGTATTTCTTTTGGGACTCAGATAGCAGCATGAGGCCCCCTAGTGGCCTGAAATAATTAAGGAGTTTAAGAATTTTGAAGGGCAGGTGTTCCTGGAGTTGTGCAAAAATAGAAAATAGTTAGATCTTGGGCTTACAGTAGAGGCAAGACAGGTTAATAAGACCTATTTGGGGAGAGTTGAGCCAAAGTATTTTCTTTTAGGATATTAAAACAGATGGATTGTAATTCCATGAAACCACTCACTTTCTGATTTTTTTGTTGTTGTTGTTCATTCAACAAACACGTACTGGCTGCCTACTACATCCAAAATATTTTGCTAGACATCACATTGGGGTAAAAAGCAAAAAAAAAATGCAGTAAGGATCTTTGGAAGAGGATAAATACATTAATTTTTCTCCCAGCATGATAGAAAATAGAAGATTCCATCAGAGACTAAATAAGTAGAGAATCTTGAAGAAGCAATAACTTTCATAAAAAGGGGATATTTCTAGGAAGAGAGTGTATTTATGCAGGGGCTCTACTGAAAAGCAGGATTTAACTTCATTGAGGTAGAGGAGAGAGAGTGGCATTATGGAGGAGGGAAAACAGAAGTTTGAACAGACATGGAGGAAGGAAAACTACAGCCTGATTTGGGAATGAATTGTCTGGCTAACTCATGAGTTTTCAGTTGGAGCGAGACTGAAAGCTATTTGAATCAGACAGTGAGCAACCTTGAACACTTGCCTGAAAATTTTCTTCATCAGCATATGGGATGCCTTAGAATATCTTTAAGCAAAAAAAAAAAAAAAAAAAAAAAAAAAAAAAAAAAAAGGCCTAGGAAAGCACAGACCCCTCTCTCTGAAACAAACACATGCCATGCATACACTTGAATTTGGTGCAGAGGCATGGATCACGTTAGAGATAACTGGGGTGCACTCTACTGTAATTGACAACTTGATTTTCCCCTTGTGAACATCAAAGCCAGGAGAAACTAGGTCACCAAGTCTTCTCCCCTTAACAAAACTACCTGAAAGCCAGGGAGCAGTCAGTGCCAGCAGACTCCAGCCACATTTAATTAAATTCTCCAGTAGAATGCCTTTCATAGAAAGTATTATTGCTTTGTTTTTCCAAAAGGCATCATAACTATCTATCTTCCTGCTAGTTTAATGTGATTAAACAACACGGAGCAGGGATGTTTCTGGCTAGTGTTAGGGGATAGATTCCCAACTGTGTGTGGAATAGCTCACTGTCCACAGAATTCAAGCAGTGATGTTATTTGCATTATATTGTCACTAACTCAGTTAAGCATCCTGGGAACCTACATACAGCTTGATAAATAATTGGGGCTCAAAAACATATGTTAAGCAAAGATATAATGATTGATTCAATAAAGAACATGCATTTAGCAACACATTATTAAATTCCTGATCCCAGGAACTGATTCCCCAATTGTAATAGTATAGAGATCTTTTAAAATATTATTCTTTAGAAGCCATGAGGACAAATGACTCAATAGGGTCTCCCTGATGGCCTAGGAGTTAAATCTCAGTGCTAATCAGTGCTAGAGCCCAAGTTCCAGCCCTGGCCAGGGAGCTGACCCATATGGCGCAGCAGACCTCTCCTGTCTCACCTACTGCTCTCCTCAGCACTGTATCTGTAGATCTATCTACTCTGCACCCCACTCTTGTCTGTGGTGAATCTGCTCACCCCCACACTCCACGTCTTCTATGCATCAATAAATAATTTTTTTAAACAATGACATGATAAAAAAAATCTCCCACTTAAGTTTGGAAGAAGTAATATGGTCACTTGAAAAATACAGTTGAGATGTGGTCCAGAAGGGCTGAGTAACTAGAACAGCAATAAAAATACAACAGAAACTACTATTTAAGAAGTTTCAGCAGCAATGAGTATTTATTATTTTGAATGAAATGTACATTAGACTTTCATATAAAAATCATCAAAAGTGCTATATGGGATTATTTTAATATTAACTTAACCCCCCCCATGCCATCTAGTAGTTACACCTCTTACCTTGCTTTTTTTTTTTTTTTTTACTTCTGACACTCATTACCATCATTTCAAACTGCCCAATGTTAAAACGATTAGTTTATTCTTCGAGAAAAAGTACCACCAGTGATGAGTTACCGAAAATGAAAAATAGATGCCAGAGAATCAACCTAATGAAAAACGGGTAACAGAATTCATGGAAGGCGGCAAGGCCCAAGGCAGAGTAGACTCTAGGCAGGATATTTGCATGATTTAACTTCTTAAGAGTGTGGGTGGTTTCTTATGGAGGCAGGTCACTGGTGTGTCAGAATGGCCCGATTCAGTTTGCATCTTTTCTTGGTTGCTTTCCAAGGTGAACCAAATGTTGTCAAATACTGCAAACCTCCCCTAGGCCTACAAATCTAATGTAGACAAAACTGACATTTTAGTCTCAGACATAGCCCTTAGAGTTAAGTTTGTCATTGAAGAAGTCACAAGTTGTTCCTCACAGAAGAGAACTCTTATGCCCTCCCTCCCCCCTCATGCTTCTGGTCTGCTCCAAGGCTAAGTCCTTTGTCCCCATACTCATGGGCTGGCTGAGGAAGTGAGCGCAGGGTTTTCAGGTGACACTCCCATTTGGTCTCCTCCAGTCTTAAGCAAACAGGCTTCTCTGACTGGCCACGAGAGCTGTCTGGCTCTCCCGTCTTTTGGCTTTCTTGCTCCTTTGCCTTGCTTTCCAGCACAGGGCGCTGGACGTCAGCAAAAATAGTCCCAGTGACAGCAAGACCAGACCCAAGATGGAGATGATGGAGCCATGGGAATTGAAGCTGTAAGCCACTGCAGTGACCACGATCCCGGCGATGAGCACAACCACGGCAAAGGGGATGATGCAGCGGTAGCAGGAGAGCTCTGCGCCCCCGGTGGCAGCTGTCAGCTGAATCTCACTGACCAGGGGCACTGCATTGACCACCACTTCCTTAGTGGGTTTCTTCTCCATTGTCCCGGGCTTAGGAGACTTTGGGGTTCCCAGGATCTCCTTGACGGGCTCTTCGGCCATTTTTATGGTGTGTTTCTCAGTCTAGATGTTCACAATCTAGATCTAGATGTGGGGGTTCTCACCAGGGTGGAAACTGTGGAGGAGAAGACAGGAGCCATCAGTTAAATGTACAAGAGCGAGCCCTGCAAGTGTACAGCAGACCTGGTTGCACCAGCACGTTCTTTCCCAGCAGGCACAGAGGCCTGTGAAAGGCAACTTTCATTTTTTTCTCCCCTCTAAATGTTTGCATTCTTTTTTGCATTGGACAAAAAGCACAATAAAGCAGATAACCATAAAGAAAGGGAAGAAATAAAAAGCAGGAAGCACTTTACAGTGTTTAATATGCCCTGGCAGTCTACAAATGTTTTACAAGCCTTTCCGTTTTGTCTATTGCTTCTCTTTCCTCTAAACACACAGAAAAGCCTCCAATGCAATGGAAGACAGCTTCATTCAAGAGGAAATTATATACAAATTCACTATATCCACTGTCTCCCGTCTACCTGATATACGATAGTTCCCACGGTTCACTTCACAATTCATAATGCTGTAGACCATTCTGCTGCGTTGGGGCATAACATGTATTCCTTCCAAACATTCCTTCCATTCACTGCCCACCAAATCCATTCAGCACCAGTGGCCAGTGAACAAATGATGTCCTGCTACATCAATAGTCAGTCAACAAGTCTTTATATTGTGTGACTGTTGCACATCGTGCAATGTGCATCCATGCACTGTGGGGGCTGAGGTAGGACCTGGTTGAGCAAAAATTCAGTGACAAAAATCTAAATTTTTGTAATCTGAAATGGTGCCATCTCCTCTGCTCCGTTTCAAAAGGGGAAAATAAAAACAGTTCAACAATATTGTAGGCTATCATTTTGTACTTCCTTAGAACTATTAGAATAATCTCATCAGTTGCCAATTCACAAATTTTCCATTATATTGCAAAGAATTATGATCATATATGTATCATGACATGTTTTTTTTTTGTTCTTTTTTAAACATTTGAACTTGAAAGCTTCAGGACAATATCTGAGACTCTCAGCCAAAAGCATCTGGTTGCAGAGCTGTCCGTGAAAAATCAGTGAGTCCTCTCGTCTGCTGCCCAGACATGGAAAGTCATTCTTTCTTTGTCCTCCAGGAGCCATCTAGCTACTAAAGAGTGGAGTGGTTACGGTTGCCAGAAAAGTTTAAAGGAAGACACTTGAGAGCATTTTAATGAAATTAATATTTTGCACACTTATTTAGCATCCACTGAAAACAAGTTCCAGCCCAAAGCAAATCTCACAGGAGGCTTGAGGAGGTCAAAATACCACTCCTTGTACAAAGCAGCAAAATGTTAAAGCTATTTGCATGTCATTTTTAGTCACCAAATTAATCATTGTTGTCCAGTCATATCCTAAATACTGGCTAGATCAGTAAGAGGATACTAGTAAGAAGATATGTCTGAAAGGATTAAAAAAAAAATCACTTTAAAAGCAGAGACTGAAGCTAACCTGAAAAATGAAAGTCTGTCCCCAAACTCTTCACACATACCTCCGAGAGAAGCCATCCATTACCAGGGAAACCACTGGGCTTGGGCAGGAAGAAACAGCAGCCCGGGAGCTTCTTCGGACAACTTCTGGGAGAAGAGCCTGGAACAGCCTGTCAGTCAATAAAATGACAGGACAGAGATCTCCCCTGGGGAAAAAACAAGATATGAAAAATACGCTGTGGTCGAGTTTGGATCCTGGAGCTCTTTCTTTCACTGTATCTCTGTTCCTAAATGACGCTTGTCTTTCCCTCTCTCTCTTTTTATTTCCTCCCCCTCCGGATTGCCCCTCCCTGTCATTTTTTTTTTTTTTCCTTAGTTCTTTTCCTTGCCAGCAGATTCTGAGTTTTGGCTCCCCCCCCCCCACCTCTGCTCAGTGACATGATAAGTCAGAATCATTCTAGAGTCCCCAGAGTCAGGAGCCAGCTTTTACATTTATTTCTCTTAGAGCAATTACTAAGTAGACTGCTTTGCATTACTCATTTTCCCCCAGCCAACCTCCACATCTTTCCTCCCAGCCATCAGGTATTTTTATTAGAAAATGCCCGAGTCAGCTTTGCAGACCCAGCAGAGGGGACCGTGCTACAGGACAGACAGGCTAAAGCAGCAGGAACAGCTGTGAAGTCGTAGGCAGCTGAATTCAGCTCTGAGCCAGCACAGATCCTTGTTCCTAGGTTTCCCCCATATTCTTTATTTATGTGTGTGCTGGTCATTTGAAGCTTAAAACTCCCCTTAGTGCTAATTCATTTAGGAATCAGCATAGGACACAGAAATGTTTGTGATTAAATGGGAAACCTTGTTATCTGCGGTTAAACAGGGTTACTTACTACTTTTTCAAGAAGGTGCGTAATGAGAAATGCTGAAATCTGCACACCCTCATCACACTGCTGCCATTCGCTGAGATCTAACATACTGTGGGTATGCACACAGTGTGCATGCCCTGACAGTGATTCCACTAATATACATGTGAATTTATAAATGGCTCTATCGTGTGTAAATGGGGCTCAGCAAGATTAAGTAACTTGACAGAGGACACCCAGAAAGAGAGAGAGAGAAACCTGTGTTTTGAACCCAGTCTGAATGGACACATAAGTCAGGCAGAGAGCTTGTCAAGAGCACATTCAGAATCAGTAAGTCTGTGACAGGGTCCTGGCTGATGGGCTCTTCCTGGTGTTTCAGGCATTCGAACTTAGATGGCTTGACAGGTCACCCTCTCAAACAACAAAGTTAAATCTATTTTTCAACCTTCCCCTCAAAAGAAAACTTTCTTCCAGGCAAGTCATTTGTAATTTTAAGGCCCCAGATTGTCTTTTTGAGCGAAAAAAAAAAAAAAAAATTAGTTAACATGGGGAGACTATTAGAAGCTCATCCCTATGCTACTGTAGTTAAAAGTGATCCATACTCTCTTTTCTAATGTATGAAGTTTTAATGGCTTCTTTATTAATGGAGAAACCTGCTGAACCAAATTAAATCTTGGAAGAGATTTATTTTCCATCTTTCTCTCTAGTTGCTAGATTTCTCCAGCTGCTGGCAGAGGGCTGGATGTTCCCTGGAATCTCCCCCTCTGTTCTAACACAGCCTGCTCTTTCCAGTCTCCTCAGCTAGCCAAACATTAATGAATTTGTTGTAAAGGCAAAGACACTAGAAATCCTTTTCTTTACAGTGACAGAGGGCTTTTTTTTTTTAATAAAAATAAAATTGAAAATTTCCAGAGGCCTGACAGAGTCTGAACTGGGGGAGCCCAGCTTGTTGAGGACAGAGATTAGCCAGCACCATCCCACACTCATCAAACAGGATGTAGAGGGCCAAAGTCACCAGGGAGGGCACTGTCCCATGGCTTTGAAGATGAGGGACACTTAGATCAGGCACTTTAGCACATGCTGCATTGCCCTGGAAAGAGAGTGATACTAGGGGCTGCTGGCTACCTCAAGTGCAGGTTCTAGAGTTTAGAGTTGCTCCTTAGACAGTAACAGCTCCCCCCGAAACCCCCCCCCCCCCCCCGCCCCAAACTATCTGTTCCGGAGGAAATTGCTCAATACTCTCTAGCCAGGGCGTCCAGAAGTACTCTAATAACCCCACCTTACACTGCTGGAGATCATGTTCCCCATCACCAAAGTCAAAGGTACTAGAACAAAACTTGCTCCTGAGAGAAGCCAGAGGTACCTCTTCTCCACAGGGAGCTGGGAATGTGGGTAGGCATCACCTTTTCAGACTTCAGGTGTCATCTTTACCCTAGTTCTTCTCTGAAGTGTGCTTCTGCCCAGCTATACAGATGTGCATAGACCCCACAACATTTGATAAATGCTGAGAAGTGCAAAGCGTTGGGATAAAGCAGAAATTACACCTGAAGAACAGAAATCTATCATTATGCTCAGACACCTGCATTTTAAAAAATCTACTTTTACCTCTTCAAATGGAAATTCAAAGAGAATTCCTAGCAATAATGCTTGGCTGTCTTTGAATTTTTTTCTTTTCCTTCATCCACTGTGTACCCATAAGCTGTGAAACATCCCTACCTGCCCCCAAGTACAGCAATGCAGCCTGTCTTCTTTCTGGAGACTTCTTTCAAAAGGCTCAAATCTTTCTGGTTCTTTTAAAGCATTCGGCTCCAGGAGAGACTTTAAAATTTGGAGAACTTTTTGAAAGTTTCCAATGTATACATTAAATCCATACACCCACCTTCACCCTACCTCTCTGGAAAGCATTCAACACTTCTCTCCCTGTTTTTCCAAAGAGCAAGGCAAAGATCCTTACCTTTCCCAGCCTGAGTCAGACTGAGACAGCTGCCTGCTCAGCCAGCAGCAACCCAGAGAGGGGGATGCAAATCACTGGACTAGGGACCGTAAACAAAGTACTGAACAAGGCTTAACCACAATTAAGGGATCGGAGAAAAGTTGGTGAGAAGAAATCTCTAAAAACTGCTCCATTTTCTGCTGTTTCCCTCAATGAGAATGCAATCCTTACTTTTTAAAAGGGAATGACGTTTGAGAAGAATATCCTTTGTTTTTCTCTCCTTATCTCCTTATTTACTCTTTCATTTTCAAGGTCGTCCCTATCCAGAATCGCCATTTGATACTCTCTCGCCATAATACCTTGAGCCAGCAGAGGAAGTCATTGTAATCTTTGTTCTGTACTTCAAGGTTGGTGTACAGCTTGGGAAATGTGTGGCGGTGGGCAATCGAAGGTTAAACTGAACCTCACACTTACATGTAAGAAAAAAGGGTGGTAAAGGAAGTGAAGGATGGATGGTGCAAATGGTTCTGGGTGTCTTCTGTGGACCTTGTCCCTTAACTCAGAGGAATGGTCATCAGGGCTCTGAACCCATCAGAAGGTGACAAGGTGCCATGAAACAATGGAGACTGGGGAAGTTACACCTTTTAGCACTGGGGCAACCTTTTACCAAAGGCATCATGAACAGCAGAGTGAGGAACACTTGCTCCTCTGGAGAAAAGGCTCCCAAATTTGCAAAACCCAATTTTAAAAAAACAAGACCAGAAACGAAGTTATTTAGGTGAAGGGATACAAAAGTGGAGGGAGGCAGGGAAGAGGGTGAGGATGATGACAAACAGGACCTTTTGCCCATTTCCTTTCTGTAGACAGCAAGCATTTGGGCTCTGTGTTGGGAAGGGAGGCTTTTCTATTTTGCCCTGAATATATGCAGTAGAGATCTGGAAATTTCTCCGTGGGGAGCACACAGACTTCATTTTGTGAGGAGGACCCTCATGTACATTCGATTACTCGCCCATATTTGCTTTCAGTTTGCTTTTTCCTTGGAGTGGTTGAGTTGGCCCAACTCCAGCAGCCCTGAAGGTGCCAATTCCACCAGGCCTCTGTCCAGTGGCTGCCTGCCTTTGATCTCCGTCATCTCCCAGGCCAAACCAATTGGATGCAGGGAGAATCAGGACTCTGGCCAGTTTTCTCTTTCCCAGTGCTTCTTTTAAGGGTGTGTCTACATTTATGCTTTGGAATCGGACACTTTGGAAAGTGATCTGGCTTGCATGTTCGTTTTGGATAATAGGTCATGCAATATTGCCTTTCCCTCGCCACGACACTTTTATTTGTGGTCTAGGGCATTAAATAGAAAGATCTGATAGTACCAAGAGGAACCCCACAACCTCCCGGCACCCTGGGTATGACTTAGATATACATATATAGTTTACTTTTTGCTGCTTTTGCTATTTGTTCCATTTCCAGGTACCAGAAACTCATCAAATCCATGTGGATGTAGACAGGAAAATATTAATCGTTTAGATGTATATCCTGGTGACTCTTACTTATTTTGTCCTGAGTAATACAGAATGATCACATCAACCTAAAAAAACAGTCACTGAAATCAAATGACACCGTGGGAGTTTAGGAAGGACAGAATAAGTCATCTCTCACTTCAGCAAGAACTCATTGTCCTTCTGGTCTCAGATGAAAATTGATTTTCCTGTTTCAAAATCCAAATATATGCCACGACTGCTATGATCTTGACCTGGTTCCCCTGTATCTTGTGCAATCCTTTATATTTATGTACATTATTCTTGGAGACCTGAGATAAGGAAGCTCAAAAATGAAGTGTTAAAACAAATTGAGCTAACACTTTCTCAACACAAGGGCACACACGTGGGTTAGTCTTCCCTAGTGGACACTGGGTGGGAATGAAGTCCACCACGCTTGCCTTTGCTGGGGAGGGGAAAGAAACAGACCTCACCCTTTACTAGTCCTCTTGATGCCTGATAATAGAGGGTCATTCTATGCCTTTTTACAGTACTGCCCCCCTAATATCTGGTGACCAGTGCCATTTGTCCTAGCTATAAAATGATGGACGCATTGTCCAACCCTAGACCCTCCTAATCAGCATATAATTTCTAGGCTTTAATGTCAGTCTGCTGCTGGGGATTTGAAATTACCCTGCAACGTGTAAACTTTTCTAAAAACTGAAAGGTCAGTGGCTTTTCTTTGTTCCATGTTCGTAGAGCAGAATATGCCTTCTGACCTGGTCACCCACTTCTCAGTTGTGTCTCCCTGGTCCAAGATGACTGGCGCAGGATGGACACATCAGTGCTGGCTCTCCCCCAAAGAGTGAGAAATATAATTGAAACCACAGATTTTAAGCTGTATGCTTAGATGGGGATATTTTCACAAGTAGTTTTTGTTATCTCCAATTTTTCAGAGAAGGAAGTAGAGGCCGAAAGAAAATCACTGATCCCAGCGTAAACTCCAGAACCCGGGCTCTTCAATCTGAGTCAACCCACATGATGTGCTCAGTTTGAAGAGGAAATTGGCACAGTGACACCTGTCAGAAATGTAATATGTACCATCCATCATAGAGACCTTGTCTCATGGATATATCTTTTCCTGTTACTTACAGAAAAACTAAAACTCAGCGTGATTGACTGTTAGGGAATGAGGCACAGCCAGGATTTGGGTCCAGGGCTTCTTCTCCAGTATTGTACTTATTATAATAGTAGTTATTAAATGATGTGTATATTTCTAACTTAGCTTAAGTCTCATTTAGGGGATGGGGAGTAGGACTTGGTTTCCTTTTGGAATTGCATTCTGCAAAAGGCAACCTATTGCTCTAGGATGATTACACCATGGATGTTGCCCCATATATATCTGGGTACTAAGTCAGTGCTATGTTAGTTACTAAGCATATTTGGGGAGGTTTAACATATAGCTCCCATCCCAATAGAGTTGGTGGAAGGTGTCACGGTCACAGGGACATTTCAGAAGTCACCTAGGCCATGCCTTCCTCTGCCCCAGGAAGACTTCCATTCCACTGATACTATACTGTCTTCCTCTCAGGTTCACTGCTCAGGTTAAGCAAATACAAACCAGCAAAGTGTGGTCTCTGTTCATCCAGAGCTGTGGCCAAGGAAAGCCATAGGACCACCAATGTGTTGGTCATTTTGTAAAGGAAAAGAATAAATTGCTAGGTGAAGCCAGGGAAGGTGAAATCAGTCTGGTCTAGGTGGAGGGAAAGTCCCGTGCAGACATGAGTCTGGGCAGTAGAGAAGGCAATTCTAGATAAAAGGCACAGGCATTCAACAAACACCTTGGAAAGAGACAGTCAAAGTCTTCAGGAGCTGTGAGTAGCTTGAGTGTGGTCCATTTTAGAGAGCCGGCAGAGAGAGTCACAATAAGTCTGAAAGTGATCTGCAGTGAGCTGATTCCTGTGTGAGACTTTGGACTTTATTTCAACAGCAAGGGGTTTTGAGTGGGATGCTGTCCTCAGTTCCATGCACTGGCAAAAGTCAAAGTGGGCATGGCAGGAGACGTGGTGGGGGTCCCTTCAGAAACTCTTGTGATTGTCCAGATGGGAGGTATGGGGGTTCCATATTGGGATGTGACTACAGGGGGTTGTCAATCCAATAGAGGGGATCAGCAAAGCTTGGTAGTACATTTCATGAAGTGGAGGTTATTTAGGGAAAGGATTTTGTAAGTTTTTAAAGCCAAAGAATAAGTGACTTGATATTGTTAGAGGACGCAGCGAGCCAGAGCCAGGATCAGGAATAGGATGAAAAAAGTACACTTAATCTTGTTACTAGTTCTCTACTTGTCCAATGGAGAGTTAGATGCTGGACATGGTGGCCTTGCTGCTGGAGTACGCAGCCTTGTCTGAGATACTGCAGAATGATATTATAGATTCACAGCTTGATTTCCTACTCAGATGATGAATGAACGTATCATTCACTTCTTTCCATACCTATACATACAACTGCTGACAGATATGCACAGATGTTTTGAGATTGCTAACATTCTGTATAAAACAAGAGAAGCATTTTACTTTTTTTAAATAATTTTTTTAAGATTTATTTTTTTATGCATACAAAACTGGGGACAGGCCAGAGGTGCAGGGGTAGTGAGAGGATTCACCAGAGACAGTGGGGAGGAGAACAGGCAGATGGACGAAGTAAACTGCTGAGGGGAGCAGCGGGGAGGCAGCAGAGGTCTGCCACGCCATGTGGGTCACCTCTAAGGCAGGGGATCAAACTTGCACTGAAGCACCTGTGGCTCACTTGCAGTGCTGTGTCCTAGCCCAGTGTGCCACCAGGAAAGGCCCAAGAGAAGTATTTTGAGAGTCCACCTGGAACCTTTAATTGTACGGGCTATAAGCAAAGAAAATATTGATTCAAGGTGAAAGTTAAATTTTAAACATCTCAAAAACAAGAGTATAACTCTTCAATTCTTTTTGTGCAGTGGTAGCATGACAAAAGCACCCCATGGGTGTTTTAAGGAATGATCAGTCCTACTCACTTATGCAAAATACATGCGGGAAGATCCTATCTCCCTACTTCACATGTA